GGAGACGCTCGCGGTCGTATTTACCTAAACTAGAGCGGCGCAATTTTGTAAAAGGGCTCTTAATGGAAAAAAGCTGAATTAGTAGAAAATAGAGCTAAAGAGCTAGACCTACTTTTTTAAAGTTAAACAAGCTGATTTAGAGCTACATCTAGCTCTAAAAACTCCGTGTTGGCAGCACTGCGTGTGGTTTGCAGCGAGCAGTGGCGGCGCTAGATCACATGTGGACGTCGGCGACATCAAGATCGCGAGGCCTTTTTTAATTCGTAGTAAAAAACCGTTAAATTAAGTGAGCCAAATTAAAAATAACGTATGAGTAAACGAGTTTTATTGTTGATAATCAAATGATGACAAAAAATAATTACAAACATAGAAATTTAATCACAAAAACAGTGTTGCCAGACAGACGATTCTGAATACCCGAAATTACTACTCGCTTCCATCACGCACGTGTTCGAAAATAATAAAAGTCATTATCATCTGCTTAGCTTTTTCCCCGAATTGTTCGGGGTCGGCTACCTAAGCCAGGCTAGGAGAAATGAAAATAAATAGGTAACTTGTAAAAATTTTTTGCGAGGCTGTCGGCGGTGGCCGACGTCGCCGACGCCTAGCGCCGCCACTGGTAGCGAGCCGACGCGACGCGACGTTTACAACTGTACCCCTAGCAGGGTTGCCAACCTTAGATTTTGTTTTACCTCGAACATAAGCGGCTAAAAATCTCGTATTTCAGCTTTCGAACCTCGTACATTTTTTTAATTCTTTATTTTAAAGGGTTTTGTCTTTTATACACCATGTTAAACATATCTTTCTAACATTCTATCGTTTCCTTAAACAGATTAATACGATTTTATAAAAAACCTTACTTGATTTAGAAAAGAGACTAGATATTATGCTATTATATAAATCAACATCCATTACTGTCAGCTCCGGGAATTAGTAAAAAAGTGGTATCTTTTTACGACAACCATCACATGCCACCTTAGAGCATATACCACTGGAGACGCCATAGCGTTCACTCGCCGAACTAAGGTTGCTTTCCAATTACAGCATTATAGCGCATTATGCGGCATAATGCTTAACGTTGAGTGTTCCAACTACAGCAACACTTCGCACAATTGAGCACTCTCAAAAGTGATGCTTTCGTGTGATGTTTGCAATCGTACCATATTAGAGACAGAAAATTAACAAGTGTTTTTTCTTTAAGTTGGCATTGATCGAAATGTTTTATTTATATGTTATCGTTAGTAATATTATTTATTGTTGAAAAATTATTAAAGCTTTCGTTTCATTAAATAGTTTTTTTTAAATAATCAAAGTTCATTCAAACTGTTAAAAAATAAATATAAGTATGGATGAAGGTACAAACATTGACTTTTTTTTCAACACTGAACTTAGCGCACTCTGCTGGTGCATTTGAAAACTAATTCACGTTCCAATTAAGCATCAGCATAATGGGGCATTGTGCGGCACTGAGTCGCATTATGCTCTGTAATTGGAAAGCATACAAAATTTTTCTAAATTTTTGGTGCGGGGCGAGGTACACACGTATAGCACACTAATGAAAATATCCAATATTCCCACAAACACGAGCGTGTTGTTGCTATCAAGGCACACTTCAAAAATTACGTCACACAAACAAAAACACGCACACATGCTAACATTTTTTATGTAACTACCTATGCATTTGTTCCAGCGTACACCAACATAAAATTAGGGATGTGACATTAAAAGAATGAACGATATTTTAATGAACAGTTCTTGATGAATTTACGTTTGTTTATAATGAAAACAAAATGTTTCATTTATAAATATCTATCTGAAAGCTTACTTATAGTTTTAGTACCTATTATTTTTATGCACAAAATTCAAAGATTTTTTTTGCAAACTATATTACTGTGCAAAAATCTTTCCAACTGATTTTGCTGCCTTTTATCGGATACGCTGCCTAAATTTCAAAATTCAAAATTCAAAAATTCAAAATTCAATATCGTTTATTCAGTCTAGGCTGTTACAAGCACTTGTGAATGTCGAAAAGCTACGCCATCGGTTCGCAAATCTACGGCGGGAGACCTTGTACTGAGAAGAACCGGCAAGAAACTCAGCAAGGGCTGTTTTTTTCTCCCTGTATTATATACAGAGTCGTCAAATTGAAAAATGACTTCAATATGAGGTAACTCATAAAGTCACTTTTCATTACAAACAAAAAAAAATGCAAATAATATAAAAATTATGACTATAAAATAAAAAATTAAAATATGTAAAAAAAATGGTTTAACAAAGTTTAGGAATGACGTGTCCTACCGCTTAGGCAAAAAGAAAATAATAATAATGAACGATTTAAGTTTAGAACAACGATTAATAGTAGTACCCAGTGAATTAAGAGCAGACTCATCTCCGCTGGCAGCACCCGTTCACGAGCATGACGCATGAACCAGCCATCGCTTCGCTCAACCATTTTTTAGGGAACGCAGCGACCCGCCTCACACGACACCACCGAAGAGATTTTTAAGAGAGCATGACTACTCATAACCACACATGGATACTATGTTACTAAAATAGAAAAAAAAAATACATATAGGTACCAGTGTACATTATTATAACAAACTATAAACACAACGGCAGGACACATGCATGTGATTACCTAAACACTGTTGTCGACCCTGGCAATACTCTTCCAACCCAAAACCAATCAAACATCAGTCCCCCCCTTTCAGTCTGTATAGAGAATGACAAGGATACACCACTGCAAAACCAAGTTCAGGTCTAGAAAAACATACCAGAATCCACACCGCCATTAAATCTTTATCAGAGAAATAATATATGTTCACTTACATTTTGATTGCTGTGTCACACAGTATAAATACAAGTTGTGTAATGTAAAATACAATCAAAAATTAATAATAATTATCATTACAATAATAAAGTAGTATAGAGCAGACTCATCTCCGCTGGCAGCACCCGTTCACGAGTATGACGCATGAACCAGCCATCGCTTCGCTCAACCATATTTTAGGGAACGCAACGACCCGCCTCACACGACACCGCCGAAGAGATTTTTAAGAGAGCATGACTACCCATAACCACTAAAACCAATCTGCAAAATGGTTACTTAGAGTTAAGGTAATTTATCTGTACGACACTGCAAACAAATACAAAACAATTTTGCAGTTACAGCCATGCAGTTTTGTCATTCAAGTATTCTTTAATAGTATAATAGCCTTTCTTAACTAAACAACTTTTAATGTGACATTTGAACTCATTTATGGGTAACTCAAGAACAGCATCAGGAATTTTATTGTAAAAATGTATACCTTGACCCATAAAAGATCGGTAAAGCTTCTGTAACCTGTAGGCTGGCAATGCAAGCTTGTTTCTATTCCTAGTATTAAAATTGTGTACGTTACTGTGTTTGGTATACAAATTGATATTATTTTTAACGAGGAGTATGCAATTGTAAATGAATTGAGAAGCAACAGTCAAAATGCCAATTTCTTTAAATTTTTCTCTAAGAGATGTTCGGCTACTCAATTGATAAATAGATCTCACAGCTCTTTTTTGTAAAATGAAAATACTTTCAATATCAGCTGCTGTTCCCCAGAGTAAAATGCCGTATGATAAGATACTATGAAAGTAACTAAAATATACAGTCCTGGCAGTATCTATATCAGTAAGTTGTCTTATCTTTCTTACGGCATAAGCTGCTGAACTAAGTTTACCAGCCAAAAGCGTAATGTGATGACTCCATTGCAGTTTTGAGTCTATCGTTATACCCAAGAATGTAGTCGAGTCTACTAAATCTAATTTTTCATTATTTAATTTAATTCCAATATGCTCAACTTTTACATTAGGTAAGGAAAATTGAATACACTTGGTTTTATTAGCATTTAGCTTTAGATTATTGACATTAAACCATTGCAGAACTTGAGAGAGAGCATTATTTACATCGTCATAGTTGTTTTTGCGCCTGTCAACGTTAAATTTAATTGCTTTTACACCCTTAATAATATCAAACGCAGTATATTGTCACAAAACACTGCGTAACTGACCCAAGCTCATCCATTCTTCGTTTAATATAATGGGAATAGCGAATTAATATATTTCAGTGAATTTCATTTTATTATTAGGACTATTAAGCATTATTCTTTGGTCTAGATAATGAAGAATTCTATTTATGTATGACATAAAATACATTTCAAGAACACAAACTATACAAAAATACACTATACTTACGAGTGGAAAGATAAGCCAGCAAGTTTACGTTCACTATCACTTTTTGCATGTAATAACACAACATCGAACCACTTTTTTTTTATGAAATTATAAAGAAAAAGTATAGAGTTTATTTTTATAGTTACTTTTATTAAGCTCGTAAGCAGTGACGGATTTAACCTAAGACCCTGTAGGCCCGGGCTTAGGGCGGCCAGATTAAGAGGGCCGCCCCTTAGTTTTACTACTAACTACTACTTAAAAGGCCAAAGCATTGCAAATAAAATAATTTATTCAACTGAGGTGTCACAGTAAAATTGGTGTGATTTTGTGTTACAACTGTTTGCGTAACTGAAGAATTAATAGAATCGTCAAAATTCCGGTCAAGTGGACGTGAGAATTTTATTGTAGTATTGACTACCTTACAGAAGCTTATCGAAAAAGCCAGCTCGATACATTTCGTGCCAAACACTTCAAGAAATATTAGAATGCGTCACACCGACATTCTAATGTAAAAAGAAAAACAGAATAATTTAACTTAAGATTAGGCTGTATGGGCATTGTTCCTCTTGCCTTCCCTGAAAAGGGAGAATTTAACAAAAACAAAAGTGTCAATGTCAAATGTCAATTTGCGTCTGCGTTTTTGTTTGTGATTTTATATTGAATTTTCGTTTAAATAAATCAAAGTTGACGTGATTTAATTTAGTATTTTATGAAAAAGAACCTTGTTCATGCTCGTGATTAAAGTGTGTTAACAATTCCATTAGAAAAGACTGGTAATACGATTTAAATATAAAATGGCGCAACGGGAACGACGCTCAAATGCTGGGAATCGAATGGCCAAACTATTGGACGATGAGGAAGAAGACGATTTCTATAAAACTACTTATGGTGGTTTTCAGGAAGTAGAGGAGGATAATGACTATGTGTAAATATTTTACTCTTTTGTTGATTAAACTCTGTAATTGTTTGAAAGTACCCTATTATTGTCAAATCACACTGAAAGTAATCAAATGGTTACCATGAAGACTTTCACAGCCTTAACGCTGGAAAGACCAAATAAGAGTTCTAACTTTTCCATGAATGCTAATGACTTAAATAATTAAATAAAATATTGAAGCAGTGTTAAGGAGTTAAAGTAACCAGTGGGCATTTTTAACGCTAGCAAAAATGAGTTCTGTGGGAAGAGAGGGGTAGTTTATTACCCTCTACCACTCGCACTCTGCAGAAATGTGTAGATTTCGAGAGATTCATATTTAAAATTTTGAGTAATTTGACTGTATTAAAAGTCCATATCAAACAACCCACCCTCGTCCTCTGATTTTTATATTAAAGTGTAGTGAAATTTAGAATTCTCAATGGCTTTACGGTAATCTTAATCTTGTCATAGACTATTTAAAATAAAACAATGTAAGTTGTTAAAATCTTGATATTTATGGTTATTTACTTATAAAACAAGGTTTAAATGAAGACAATGGCTGCATGAATCTACCTTTGCCTTTCCCAAGTAGGGAAAATAGAATTTAAAAAGAATTAAGCTTACTTACTATGAAAAGTTTAGTTAGGACTTTTTGAAGGAATTGGGAAGTGTCACTTTAGCAGTTTTGTTTTTCTTGTTAAAAAATTGTGTTGTGACGGATGTTAGTGTCTAATAATGGTGGATTATTAACCACTAAGTGTTCAGGAACATGTACAAGTGTTGGCAAGTGAAACTAAATAGCAGAAAGTGTCTTTCGACATTCTCTCAAGAAGTCCACAGGGAGGTTCCAGTAAATCCCCACACTTCTACTGAAACATAGGGAAAGGGAGATTGACTTGACTGCCACTTACTTTGACTTGATTTATTACTTTGACCACGAGTGCTATAGTATTTGTAAACATTTTAACACTTGACATTGGCTAAATGCAGAAGCCGTGCGAAGCCATTTAGAAAAAAAAAGTTGAGTTACCATTGTTTTTTCTAAAAAACTATGATCCGCACTTTGGATATTTGCAGAATTGCATATTAAAATATGATCTTTCTGCCATAAAATTACGGTTAGCAAACTTGTATACTTACTACTCGTACTCGTAACCTTATTCTATATTTAACCTGCAGAAAGAGCTATAGCTAATTATTGGGATCAAACAAAATCATACTTTTACATGGATTGGTAAAACCAATTTTTTCATCATTAATTCATCTGTTAAGTTTTTTTTGTATTAAAGTTTGTGTTTTGTTGATCTTTCAGACAAGAAAAAGAAGCTGAGGATGTTGTTGACTCTGATTTTGATATTGATGAAAATGATGAACCAGTATCAGATCAGGAAACAACAGATGATAAACAGAAAAGGAAAGTCGGCACAAAATCATATAAGGTTTGTTTACCTATTTTATTTCAGCATCTGCTAGATTTTTAAAGTCATAAAAAAAAATTATTTATAATTCTAGTCAACAGATTAAAGTCAAAATTTAGTATGTTTCTGGCAATAAATAAATAAAGTTTTCGTGGAGTGATATGCTACTTTTTATAACCTATTTTAAGAAACTTGAAGATAATTTACAAAATTTCATAAGCTGTGGTCCAATGCACATTATATTGGAGTCTCTGATATATTGTTTTCTATGACTAAAGACATAAAACCATTTACATAAATTGCATCTGAATTAGTCATCAGTATACATAAAAAGCTGAAGAGCTCAATGGCACAAGTAGTTAGCGCCTTTGGCTGCATTTGTTGAAGTTAAGCAACTTTGGCAGCATGACCATGTCATTGGATGGGTGGCCAAAAATTTACTATTTCGAGCTGCTCCGTGGTTCGGAAGGCACGTTAAGCCATTGGCCCCGGCTGCATCATCCGTCGGTAGCACCCACCAATCCGCACTAGGCCCGCATGGTGGGTCATGGGCCAATCTCCCTATTCCATCCATAAGGAAGGCATGTGCCCCAGCAGTATGATGTCCCCACATTAATAGGCTGATGATGATGATACATAAAAAAGGAAATCACAACAATGTTATAAGTGGATAATAAATTCCATTTTTATTTTTGATGAATTTGGTGAATTTTTCTTCACATAAATGCATAATACTTGAGGTATGCATTTGGGCAGATTTCTATGGAAAAGTGAATGGATTCTTTGCCTATAGGACCCCAATAGAAAAAGGAAAGCAGCTGTGGTAAAGAAAATTTCCAAAAAACCGAAGGAACCCAAGGAACCAAAGTTGAAGGAAGATAAAAGTGACAAAGTTGATAATTTTGATAGATCCATTGACACATCTATAGGTAAATCTAATAGTTATTTGATTTTTATATTAAAAAAAAGGCTCACTCATGGATCAGAGGCCACATTATAAAATCTTATTGAGTTTATGATATGGCATTTCATATTAAACTCTTTAGCAGACAGAAAAAAAACAGCACTTGCTAAGTTTCTTGCTGGTTCTTCTCAGTACAAGGTCTCCTGCTGTAGTTTTGTGAACCAAAGCTGTCGTTTTTTGACATTCATATGTACTATAATACCAGCCTAAACTAAAAAAAACCATGTTGAGTTTTAACCTAATGTTAGTCAATACATCTGTTATTGTAAAACAATAATATATATACCCAGTAGAGTAGCACTCTGCATCAATTATTGTATTAAGAGTTCATAATTTAGTCAACTAGGCTGAGTTGTATCTTTTCTAGAATATGAATCTATTTATAACTTTTTATCCGACTGCGCATGCAAGAAATGCGACGCGCAGAGGGTTCCTTTGTGGCACATTAGTTTGTGTTTCTGAAATTAGCATGGATAAGTGATGGATGATAATAAAATTTTTTGATGTATGTATTTATTAGAACGCAAATCTATCAGACAAAGTACAGCAGTGAAATCAGCCGAGACTCAAGAAAGAATTAAAATAAGATCAGAGTTGAAAAAGAAAAAACCAAAGAAAGTAGAAGAAAAGATGCCGTCACAAGAAGAACTTCTCGAGGAAGCACTTCTTACTGAAAAAGAAAATTTGAAAAGCTTAGGTATGTCATTCCAAACTTGTGGTTTTTGTAGTTAAATATGCTCTGATGACTTTCATAGCTATTTGTTACTTAAATCAATTACATTTTAACGGGTTTAAATGTGTTTTTTCATACAGAAAAGGATAATTCTGAAAAGGTTGCGAAATGTCAAAAATATATTAAAATACTCATATTAAACTTGTTAAAGCGTGTTTCATTTAATGAGTGGTGTGCTATTTGTTCCTGTTATTCAGCATAGCTATGTTGTTTTATGATTCTATGATATATTTGTTTAAGAAGTTTGTCCACTTGTCCCCTATTTTTTTTAACGGCCATGAATCTACTTCATTAGTCTTAAGTACTGATTTATTGTGGTAAAGTTTATACATTTCTATCCAAAACTTTTTTTTATTAATCTTAATAATGATCAGCTGGTTATGATAGCCTTGCTTAAATGTTTTATCTTTCAGAGAGATTTGAACAAATTGAAATGGAAAGAAAAAAGATTCGACCCACCAAAAAAACCATCACAGGACCTATAATAAGGTAAAACTTTTTTTGTGACTAATCTCTAAAAATATAGCCAGCAGTTTTCTTGATTAATACAGTTTTTCTCAAAGCCTTGTAAAATCACAAAACATGTCTTTAATGTTCTCAGTTATTTGCAAGCTATTAATATAAATATATATATTTTTTGTTTAGTTTTCATTATTTTCCTATTAAAGGACTCTTACAAATCATAGAAGCCTGACATCCATGATTTGCACTCAGAAACTTCTTATATGAATTTTCTCTTCTGGTACATTTATCTACCCAGAAGGCAATAAATGATAATTTTTTTAAGCTCAGAAGAAACATCATTATTATTTACTGACATTCACATCACCAGTAGCAGTATTTTCACATTATGTTTTCATTTGTGAAGAATTCAACTTTGATTAGGTTCTATAATACTTTTTTTTTCCTTTTTTTGTGTCTTTGCTGTGTTCAGCTTGTTTTTCTATACCCAAATAATATTACCACAGCTCCGCCTATAATTATTCAACCTTCATATTGTACTGATTTAATTTCTATGTCCACGTCAATGTTTTTTATTTTTTATTCTAATATAATTTGGTTTCTATTCAAGGTACCACTCTTTTGCTGTACCCGTAACCAATCCTAGTGCCGATGATGATAGAACTAGTTTGACACCGATCGCAGATATATCGCTCAGTGATATTATCAAAAGCGAAGAAGGTAAATTTTTAACTTTTTGGCCCTTCATCATCATCAGTCTATTAATGTCCTCACTGCTGGGGCACAGGCCTTCCCTGTGGATGGAATAGGGAAATTGGGCCATGACCCACCACTCTGGCCCAGTGCGGATTGGTAAGTGCTAACGACTGCAGCCGGGATTAACGGCTTAACGTGCCTTGAGAAGCACGGAGGAGCTCGAGATTAATATTATATGATAAAAAATTTTTGGTTACCCATCCAATGACCGACCACTGTGAAAGTTGCTTAACTTCAACGATCGCAACCGAACGCGCCAACCACTTGCGCCATCGAGCTCCTCATCGGGCCTGTCTTTTGGCCCTTATTAGGTACAATTTACACTGGCGCAGAGACGAAGCGACCTGTCGCGTAAATTCATCTCTATAAGCCTACTATTAAGGTATTCTCACTTATTCGATTCCTTAATATCAGATTTCATGTTATTCGTCAGTAGCAAATTCATCTCTATTTTCCTACTATTAAGGTATTCCCACTTATTCTATGCCTTCATATCAGGTTTCATGTTTTTCGTCAGTAGCAAATTCATCTCTGTTTTCCCACTCTTAAGGTATTCCCAAGGCGTCAGTATGAATTAAGCCTTAAAAGACGAAGATTAAGCTTCGACTAGTTACACAATGGTTTGTCCCTGTTGATCAAATTACAAAATTTACTGATTTTCAATGCCGATAGTACTTATTCAAATGATCGTATCATACAGACAATTATTAGTTACTAGTGGCCCGCCCTCGCTTCGCTTCGGTGTAGAGCTGTAGTGTAAACTATAGTTTTTGTTCTCAGGCTTGTGTTATAAACAATAACTTTATTTATATAATTACACGTGTTATTGTGAGTCAACCATAAAAGATAGACATATGCTGTTGCGGGATATTTTTTAGACAATTTTATGAATAATATTTCCGTCATACATGATTTCTATGTAACTTTAACCATTAAAGCTGCACACGCGACGGAAGCTTAACAAATGGAGTAACTTCTCCCGTTTTTCCAATATTTCCCTTCACTACTCTGCTCCTATTGATTGTAGCGTGATGAAAAGTATACTATAACCTGCCCAGGAGTATGAAGAATAATTGTACCAAGTTTCGTTAAAATCTGTCGAGTAGTTTTTGTTTCTATAAGGAACATACACACAGACAGACAGACAGACAGACAGACAAAAAGTTTACTGATTACATTTTTGGCATGAGTATCGATCACTAATCATCCCCTGATATTTATTTTGAAAATATATTTCATGTACAGAATTGACCTCTCTACAGATTTATTATAAGTATAGATGTTAATTTGTCGTTCATGATAATCTTTGATGTGGCCTAGTAACGCCATGACCAAATTTACCTGAAATCAAGCATTTCCAGAATAATTATTTCGCAGTATGCAATGAATAAAAAGTCAAATAACTCTTTAAACTGATCTATCCTACTTCTTACTAATATTGTAAATGTGAGAGTTTTTCTGTTTTTGTGTTTGTTACTCAATCACGCAAAAACTACTTTACGGATTTGGATAAAATTTGGTACGCATATAGTCTATGGCGTGGATTGATACGTAGGATACTTTTTATTCTGGAAAAATGTTAGGTTCCTGAGGGATTCCGCGGCCGCAAGTTTAATAATAATTACAAAATTCCTCCAATTTATCAATATTTATTTTAATTAGTTTGTTTTATGTATTATGTGTTTGTGTTTTAAGCTTTCCTCACCTCAAGTATTATGAATGATGTGTCGATGTCAGAGCCAAAACTCGAAGTACCCGATGAGATTCTAGAGAAAGAGGAAAAACCGATAAAAACCGACGTCGATGTGATTGGAATCGATGAGGAGTTGGACATCGCTAAAGTGGCGTAAGTATTTTGTAGTTAATTATTGAAAGGCCACATAAAAAGTTCTTAAATGAAATCCATACTAATATTATGAATGCGTTCTCTATTCACGCTTAAACTGCTGAACCGATTTAGATGAAACATGATATAAAGATAGTTTGAGTCCCGGTAAAGGTCATAGGATAGTTTTTATCTTTAAAATCACCCTTTAAGGGTGTGTATAGGGCGGTGGAATTTTGTATAGGAAAGCAATTTTCAATGCAGGCGAATTCGCCGCCATCCACTAGTCAATAATAAAAACATTTTCAACCTAATTTTATTAATACTTTTTATTTTTTAAGCATTTAACTGCTATTTGTTTAAAACTAAAGAAAATTTCACTATAAAAAAAAACACTCTCTTTTCTTAAACAAAGAATAGACACCTTCATATAATTATTTACTCTCTAGAAAGAGAGAAAGAGATAATGTGCGACCAACGGGCAGAAAAGAGTAATAGAGACGAAGCGATCGAGTAACCAGTAGTTTGCAAACGAATTTATCCAATACCTGTATTCAGTCCATTTTCTCTTCCCCTTATTAATAAACAAGGAATAAGCTAAGACTAGGTCATAGGCCATGTTTTGTTCAAGTCACTCAAATGCCATTTGTCATTCAATAAACAGAGACAAAACATGGAGTACTTAATCCAAGCGTAGTCTTCATTTATTAATAAGGGGGTCTGTGTTTATATCTTATCTCTATGGACTTCAAACAGTGGATAAATACTTTGATTTATATGGAAGAAGTGCTAAAATAAAAACTGTTTAGCTAGATTGCTACTGTTCTAATCAAAAGTGTGCGAGTGAGACAGATGATCGTACTTAACTTTTTGTTTCTATGTAATTAACTTAGTTTTGGGCTTTTTGAGTTTTAGTTATTATAATTTAAGTAAAATTTGGTTTTGTTACATTAAAAGTGGTCAAAATAGGCACTTTATTTCAAATGTTGGCAGTTTTAATAGTGAGCTAATGATGTTTTTAAGAATTATGTAAAAACGAGTTTCAACATAGCTTGAGTTTTCCCCCACCATTTTTACATTTTTAAAATAAATTGTTACGAGTAGCTAAAGCTAGTATAAATTATAATTGATAGATAGATAATTCTTTATTGTATACACCACATTATAAATACAAAATAAGGACAATAATTTAAAAAGGCGGACAATTGGCGGTCTTATGGCTATGTAGCCATTTCTTCCAGACAACCATCCTAATGGAGAGACGAAATTCAATTAAAGCCCCTCTTTAGTGTGCAACTATAAAATTAAAATAGAAAAAAAGGAAAACAAAATATAACCATGATAAAAATTACTGTTCATATTATAAAATAGAAACTGATAAAAAAAAAACAAAAACATACATCGGTACATTAAATAAATTAAAAAATTTAATTGATTGATTGTCTATGCAATTTTATTAAAATAATCTTAGTTATATATTTTTTTAATTATTTAAAATAAATTTATTTAAATATAATCTTTTTATTTATTCCGTGTCTATCTATGGGCCATGAAAGGAATACTGTCGGCACTTTACATATTTTTTTAAAATTTCGTTATTTTTTTATTTTGATAGCTGTTTTTCCTTTTCTTTCCCTATAGTGCGTGATAATGATATACTGTTTTTAAGTTTACTAATACATACTAATATCCATGTGAAGTGTAAGCAACACAATAGGCTAGTTGACTTACCACAACTTTTCTGGAGTCTAACGATGTGTTTCTACATAGATATGTTTATAATATAAACTATTTCCTACTTGCGAGTATTTGTTTACAAATGTTTTGACGTCATAGCATAGATAAATCCATAGACTAAAATAAATGGCCGACAGTGTTTTTGTATGTCCATGAAAAATCTATTTCAAAATTAATGTTTTGTAGCTTTCTAGGTAAAAAAAAGCTGCAGTATTTTTTCGGTCTAATAGAAAAATTATTGACCATTTAAACATATTTCCAAAAAGTGTCAACTAGCCTATTAGGTTTTTGGCGTTTCTGATAGCAAACATTTATCTCTATAACTTTTTAGCAAAGAAGAGAAACCCACAAAATTGACCCGAAGCAACACTTCTTACTTTGAGAGAACGCTCTTGTCCTTCGAAAACGATATAAAGGATGAAGCGTTCAACGCCTGCTTCCCACAGAAACAGCCGAGGAGAAGACGTGAATTGTTATGCGCTGTGACCAAGTATGTTTCGTTTTTAATCAAATCTACACTATCCTAATAATAAAGATTGTTAATCGATCACGCAGAAACCACTGAACGGATTTGGATGAAATTTTGCACACTTCAGCTTATAATCTGAAAAAAGACATAGGATACTTTTTCATCCCGGAAAAATGTTAGATTTTTGATCCTGTGGGATTTAAAAAAAAAAGAGGTCGCGGACGACCGCTTGTACTACTAAAAAGAAATTTGTATGGGAAACTAATATTTCCACGCACACCAAGTCGCGGGCATCCACAAGTTATATACATTCAAGCATTTGAGGTTAATGGCGCAAATGGTTAGCGCATTCGGTCTACGATCGTTGTAGTTAAGCAACTTTTTTCAATGGTCAGCCATGGGATGGGTGATCAAAAATGCATTATCTCGAGCTCCTCCTTGTTTCGGAAGGCATGTTAAGGCGTTTGTTGTGGCTGCAATAGTTCAATCTCCTTATTCCATCTATAGGGAAGGCCTGTGCTCCTTTAGTGTAATGGCTCAATTACACTTGGTCGTTAGCCCGAATACGAGTGCAAATGGAATTCTGGTAAACAACTAAGTGTAAATGAACGGAGTCGAGTATGCCCGTACTCAATAATTTACGTTTTGGTTGGTCTTCCAGCCCGTGTTCCAGTGTAAATATTGCTTTGGGTGCCCGAATTCGAGTAATGTCTTTCCTGCACCTGAAAACGGGCTAACGACCAAGTGCAATCGAGCCATAAAGTTATTGCCCAGAAAGTAAAGTGACACATTCAACAATTTCCGATTCCTTTTGTCTCTTGGATTCTGATTTACTAAAATTGTTTTCAATCTTACCTCTCTGTCCCTATTGCATTAATCCTAGTAAAACTGTCATAGAGTTGTCTATTGTTTATAATTATTTTATGTAGTATAGCTAATACTTATATTTATTTATGTTCGTCAACTTCGTCTGGCTTGGAGTACTTATGGCGTGAAGTGTGCAACTATTCATTTATAGCACGAACATAGCCTCAAGTCAAAATAATATGTTTTTTTTAATATTATTTCTTATGTTTTACGCACACCAATCATTTAAAAAAAAACCCTCTTTAAGCATGAGTAAAGTGCGTTTTTATATGTTTTTATATTATTCGCAACTTTTCGGAACCTTTACAGACTCCTCAAGATTCGACTGTTAACACCCAGTTTTTTCAATTTTTCTTCTTTTTCTTTACAGGAGACCGGCTCGCTACATAGATCCCATTACCAAACTACCATACCGAAGTGTAGACGCTTTCAGAATAATAAGGGAAGCATATTACCAACAATTGGAGGCTAGAGGTGACAGAAACGACCCACAAACGGCCGCGTGGCTAAAATGGCGTCGAGCAGACACTACCTCTACTTACGTACAGATCCATATCAAATGAAAATCGACTTTGTATTCGTGAAAATACAGGATAAATTTGCGTAACCGTGCTGTTGCAAAGTGGTTTGAATTTGTATTATATCAAGTGAAATTCAACCTAATATCTGTGGAAATACAGATTGAGTAACAACTACATTATAAAGAAGTTTGATTTTTAAATCAACACAAACAGTCTTAATTTCATAAGAAATTGATATTAGATGAAATTTAACTTTATACTTAAGAGATAAAGGCTGGATTCCTGTACCTGCATTGTTATGAAGCAGTTTGGCTTGTAGACCAATTCACATCTATTTGCATTGCATTATATCAATGGAAATGATCGATTGCAAGCTAATCTTTAACATAACAATTTAATTAAATAAAATACTTATATGTTTATTGTATGGATGAATTTAACTGTTTTTTCATACGCAGTAGAAAAATCGCATCCCAAAGAAATTGGTCATTATAAATCTCTGTCATTAAAAATTAGACAGCTAGACAACTAAGTAAAAAAAAAGGTAAATTTAAAAAATCAAAAAACCCGACTGCTTAATTATTCTTCAAATAAAAACTGAAAAGAAAAAAACAAGTCCAGTAGTCTATAATTCTGTTAATAAGGAACAAAGCTACTTTAACAGTCGGGACCCATTAGATATTAAAGAATATATAATATTTTTTAACAGTGGGTCCCGACTGTTAAAGTAGCTTTGTTCCTTATTAACAGAATTATAGACTACTGGACTTGTTTTTTTCTTTTCAGTTTTTATTTGAAGAATAATTAAGCAGTCGGGTTTTTTGATTTTTTAAATTTACCTTTTTTATTTCACACTTTTTAGTTAGTATTTTAAGACGGTATATACCGTAGTCTTGTTACTTCAGTAAGGGAATTAATATCGCGGGAATTATTAAGTACCTTGCGTCGGTCTAAAAGATTGATTTATTAAGACATATAAAAACTTTACCAGCGGGGTCAAGGCTACAGATGGGCCTCAATTTTCGCAAAAATGTGTGAAGTTAAATCAAGTCGTTACATAAATATCTCTAATGTATGTAAATTTTATAGTAAACTAGCACTTACTCAAAAAGTCATCTTTTGTTTATGTTTTTTTAATAGTTTAGCAGTAAATATAAAATTCATTTACTTTTATTCGTCGACTATTTAAAATTGGCAGTGGCTGCATTGTCATGTCACTGCCGGACGTCTAAGATTGTGATATACACAAATTCAGTGTCAGTCCCTAGTCTCATAATTTGATATACCTACATAATTCACAGAAACCCAATATGTAGATGCCAGAAGTTAAGATCACTAAATTAAATAATTATGCAATCACCAAAGCAAAGTTTATAATATTTGATAAATCAAATATTATAAACTTTATAATATTGGTGATTAGTTATGCGCCTTTAGTTTAAACTAAAGGCGCATAATAAATTTTTCATAACGTTAGTTAGAACACCATAGCAATCTCATTTATTATCAATTTATAGTTCTCTTTGTAGTTTTCTTTTAAAGCGTTCACATTTAACAGGTCAAAGACTTTGTGTTCGACCCTTTTTTATTGTTAGTGTAAAGCTCGAATGAAGAGTACTCCCAGTAGATGGCAATTATTTTCCATTTTTTTTTTGTAATAAAAATACCGAATAACGTATCACTGTTAAGCACAAATGCTAAGTAACTTTTACAAATATAATCAAATAAACCTATTACTTACTTTATTTTTAAATCTTTTTCATCAATTAAATACTTATCTTATCCTAACTATCTATACTAATATTATAAAGAGGCAAGATTTGTATGTTTGTAACAAAGAAACTGTCAAACTAGTGAACCGGTTTCAAATATTAATTCATCATAAGGTAGCTACGTTATTTATTATAACATTTTTCTTTATTTAAATACATTTTGTCCGAGTGACATAGGCTATATTTTATCCCGATAAATAAATTTCGCCCGTACAATGCCCGGGTGGATCACTAGTAAGTATAATATAATATTATAGATGCGAAAGTGAGTTTGTTTGTTGCGCTTCCGTGCCCTAATAGCTAAATCGAATATAATGAATTCCCATATAAAAGTAGATGGGAACTTGGTTCTTAGCTACAACATCGCAATACTTATAGGCGTAGGGTGATGAAAGGGGTGATTTACCTATAAAAATCTACATTATTTACTTTGAATTTTGCAGAATTATTACAAAACCAATATTATCACGAGCTGATTAATAAATACAGGGATTCCAATAAGTATGTACTTATTTGTTTCTTAGGTTTTCACGCACATCACTGATTAAATAAAACTAGTTTTTACGGGTTAATGCACGAAACTTTATTTATTTATTGACATTTCGTAGCCTTTACAGGCTACGTCTTCGTCAGAATCAAACTTTTATTTAATTTGTCCAGCTACCTTCGAAAGACTTTTATTGAGCGTCCGGTTATTTCATTGTTCGATTTTTAAAGTTTTATTGTCTATGTATGAATTTATTATTTAATTTACTTAATAAAGTATTTTATTTAAAATTCTTTTTTGTAATTTTGAGTTTATTTATTCGACCCTAACTACCGTAAACTACCACCGGTTACAAAATTGGGAGACCTTTCTGAGAAGAACCGGCGAAACAAACTCAAGAGAGGCTTTCTATCTCCTTCTTATGTTAAATTATGCAAACAAAAAGAACTAATAGTATCTGATGGTCTTGCAGTGTGTGCTCGGTTGGGATTTCATATCCTGTATAATAGGTTCCCAAGCTGGTGGTATATACCAACCATCTTCCCTATTGAAATTTGGATATTTTTTAATTTCAATAGCCTCGCGCATCATTCGAGGACGAACCGCCGCTCAGCTGCAAGGATCTGTGGTTTATCAAATCTAATGTAATGGTTTGGTCCCCCTAATGCATGTTCACACACTGCAGACTTATTTTCGCGCTTATGTTTCATATCTGCGATATGTTCTTTTACCCGAGTCCCTATGTAAGTATGTACTTACTAGCGAAAAATGGGTTATTTGTCATTATATTAAGTAAACCTTTTTTGTAACCTTAAGTAATATCCTTAGAATACAGAACGTAATATCGTTAAAAAAATGAAAAACAGTAAAATTCTTCAATAATCAATAATCATAAATACCTATTATGATAATATATTTTTCATCATTTACTAAGAAGGAACTGTATCACAGTTTTAATGTTAGTACTTCGTATAGGATCAGATACTGCGAATACCCCATTTTTTTTTCTTTTACATAGTACACCGCGCTATCACTTTGTCATCGTTGTAACTTTTTAAATATTTGTCGAAATGACATAGTGTAAAAAGCAAAGTTTATCGTATTTAAATATCAAAAGCGATTAAAGTATTTGTTTTGATAAAAATGATTTGTTAATACAAAATGTGCATTTTGGAAATAGATATCAAATAATATTTTCGTTTTGATTCACTATTTTAGCGGTAATGACTTACACATTAAAAATAGATATATGGTGTCACGGACTTTTTTTTAGAACTATTTAAGAGATACATTTTCACTCTACATTACATTCATGTAACTTTTATTGTTTTTGCAGTGCAGGCCAAAATGGCTCGCAGATTAGATGGGACATTTTTTTCCGTCTTATGTGACACTTATTGTTATATATTGGCCAATTCACTCAATAACTACATAAATTATTATATATATGTAATTATCATATATGAGCTATATTACTGTTAAGTTTCATTAAAATCCATTCAGTATTTTTTAGGTGAAAGAGTAACAAAGATCCATACAAACGTAAGATTGAAATTAAAAGCGTAAGTGGTTAATATACAACTTTAAAGCGTTGTAGATCCTAAACAATCATATAAAATGAAAAATGGTGTTAGGAACCTAAATATGATTTTTGATTATCTAGACAGTGATACCCCACTCGACATATTTTGTCAACTTAATTTTTTTACTTCGTCACAATATGGCGCCTAATTTTGCCCATACTGAATTTTGATTACTGTCATATCTTTAGTAGCACTCCCATGATTGAGACGAATCGATTGATGTATGAATCATCAAAATCGGTCCAGGCGTTTGGTCTCTAGTGTGCCACAAAGGAACAAACATACATATATAGACTGTTAAACACATAACCCTGTCTGCGCGTCGCGCTTCGCGCTCTTGCATTGCGCAGCCGGGTAAAAAAGCTTCATATTTTTTAAATTGTTCATTTTAGATGTCAATAAGAAAGGTAAGATGTAATAAAAGCAAAACAATTAAAACCGCTGTTTCAATATAATCCAAATAAATGAAAGATCTTGAAACTAATTAATTACTTTATTTAAGAATAAATAATTACAATAAAAATAGTCCTTAAATTATTAAGATTCAATTTCTGTACAAATTGTACAACTTAATTTAATTCTATTAAGACAACACTTAAAAATAACGGCCAAACAAAAGATAGTTATATTCTGGAAGGTCACGCATAATAATCATTATCACAACGATTTACAGATAATTACTGACACTACAATTAAACATTTAGTATGATTCTGAGTAAATAACGAAGTTGTGAGTATGATATCTAAAGATTAACTGTAAACGTAGGATTCAATCTAAGATCTGGCACGCTATTTCTTCTAGGCTTAATGTTTATGATTTCCTTAAGAGATATAAGCCCTGAAGCTCTTGTATCTACTCTAGAATGGTATCTGGACGGATCTGTTGTTGGCAAATATGGATATTCGGTCAGAAAAGTCTGCGCATTTTTGATTTTATTCTCCTTAGCAAAATCGTTTAGTTGCGACACCGCGATTTCGTAAGGACTATATTTCTTATCATTAAGGTTTTCCATCGATTTGAACGTCTCAAGAACGGCTTTTTTGTGTGGAATACCTCTTAAGCTGCCTTGACGACTCAGTCTTCCTTCCATGACATCAGTGAATAAATCTTCAACATTAAATTTTTCAGATATCTTCATGAGTTTGGTTGCACCAGATTCAGTGTCCATGTTGTCTTGTAGTTGATGCCATATTTTTGAAATTTCAGATGAAGGCATTGAATGTGATTTGATGTTTTTTTTTACCCTTTTCTGGGGACGTTTTTCTGCAGATTCTGTTGTGTTCGATGATTTGCTTTCTAGTAATAGTTCGCATTCGTTCAGTTTTCGGGGTTTCTTTGGCTCCACCAGCTCTTCTAGGGATTGGAAGTATTGTTTCGCCATCTTGAATCGAGATTTATAGTCGGTTTGTGGTATATCTTTTTCTGGCGTCGGCGACTTTGACGATTGGTCTGTGCTATTTTCTATGATCTCTAATTCGATATCAGACAGGCTTAAAAATGAACTTTCTTGATTGTCATTGATTTCTACATCTACTGATTCGTTGTCGGTTTTCATGTCAGTTAATGTGCTACTAATGCTTTCAAAGCTCTTGTTTATTCCACGCGTCTTAGAAGATAGTGACGGTGATGTAGTTGTCGATTGATCCTCAGCTTTTGTGAACATGGGCGAATCACGTTTGTTAACATCTACTGTAATGAAAAAAAAATACTATTAGTAAGACAGTTTGTTTTCACAGATTTTGCTAATAAAAAATAAATAAAGAAGGAAATGAGTTACCTGATCTTGAATTGTTAGCTTGCCATTGCTTATATGATTCTGAGCTCATTTGTTTTAGCTTGCTTGTTGACTTGGAATCGACAGATGTCTTTGATACACTTTCGTATAATGAGATAAAATTTTTCACATTTATCTTGGGAAGTTCATCACAGGATTTATATTTTTCAAGATCATCTTCAGACTCTTTAGTTGTAGCTTTATTGAAGATATCCATTTCTGACTTGCTAAATGATTTGCGGCGAAGATCAATGTTTTTATATTTTTTGATACGTTGATCTTGTTTATTTAAATCTTTGATAGTATTTTTAACAAAATTTTTCTCCTTATGCGTTAATGAGCTTTGTTCTAAATTTTGGTCGATAGTTGACATCTGTGTTGGCTTTTGGTAAGTCGTTTCATCAAAACTTTTGTTGAATGTTTTAAGGGCAATTCTACTTCTCTTCTCTTTCATTATTGTACTATCGTCATCTTGATCATTAGATATAGATTTTTTTTTACTTTGAGTGGCAATATTGTTTTCCATATTAGTGTAATCTGTAATTTCAAGATTTGTGTCTAAGCAGTTTCTTTCTTTGTTGCTGTCATTTCGTTCAATTATGTTATGTAATGATTGACATTTACGACGTTCCCATGATAATTCTTCAGTTCGTGATATACTATGAAATAATAATATACGACTAGATACCAATCCACTTTCACGACTAGCACTCGGGACATCGGATGATGTATTATCTTCGATACTTGGTTTACCTAAAAAGGTATCAATTTTATTTAAAATTTGCTTTCTAGACGTACCAAAAAACCTTTTGGGGCTTGTTTCAAATGCTTTGAAAACTTCTTCTGGCAATTCTTGCTTTACAGGTGAAGTTGTCGATTGTAAGTTAATCACCGTCTGTTTGCCTTCATTGAAATCGCTACCGTTGTTTTGATTTATAGTTTGTTCAGAATTGGCATGCCTCCTATCTTTTGATGAAATTGTTGTATCTGGGTTATTATTTTCTGATTCAAGTTTATCGTCCCAATATTTTTTCCATTTGTCAACTAGTTTAATATCTGGTTTGACATCAATGTTGGATGTTTCTGCTATTAAGGATTGATTATGAATTTGATCAAATTTATTATCTTCATTATTAGTAGCAGTTTTTTGACTATGGTCACAGGTACCAAGAAAGTTTTTGACAATTTGTTTACCACGCCGTTTTGTCAATGAGTCGTTATAGCGCAAATGTTTCGTTGATAATCGCCTTTTCTTTTGAAAAGTCGTCGTTTCTTGAGACTTCGCCTCTATTTGTCGAATTCGATCATCCCAATACTTTTTTCTTTCGATGACGATATTGGTTTTACTACGGCCGCCAAATTGTATTTCATTGTAGTTTTGATTACTTTCTTCAGTCGGATCTTGAATTTGGTAAGGAAGGGGCTGACTTACTGAAACTGATTCAGTGACATTTGCCTGAACCTCAGAAATCTTTCCTTCAGAATCGTTCGTATGTCGCTTCACATCTGTTATTTCAGACGCAGAATTGACAAAATCATTTGTTTTTAACTTATTGTCCACTTCCGAGGTAGTAAGCTTTTCTTCCTCATTTATGTTTGAATTTGAGTCAGTTTCAGGTTTCGGAAAATAATCTTCAAACATATCGTTCAGCTCAGCAAATGCCACTGTAACTGGATCAGAGTCTCTGATTTTTGTTTGGGATATCTCAATTACAGACACATCTTTCATACCTGATGAAATGCTCCTGTCGCTTTCTTCTATAATAGGTGTAAAATTTGATTTTCGTGACTCCCACTTTAAATTTTTAGCATCTTCTGGCGTGTTGAAACCTTCTTTTAATTCATTACAAGTTTTCCAAAGTTCTCTTTCAGCGGGACCCATATTTGACAATTCTTCATGACTTAATGCAAATTTTTGTTTACTAATTGATTCACACACTTGTGTGTTATCATTATTGTTTGTATCAGGAGAACTATTATTATCATCAATACTTACGTATGCTGAATCCCATATTTCTTTGTTTGGAGATTTATTCACATTTGAGGTGATTGTATCGTTTTGATATGCTTCCAGCAAGTTAGTGTCAGACATATTAAATATTTCAATATTTTCTGCTAGGTTGGAATCTAAACTATGCAAAGATGAAGATGCCGTGGAATAAATGTTGACTTTTTTATTTGTCTTTTCACTCACCATCTTCGGTTTAGAGTTCGTGTGCAATGGTGTTGAAAATTCTGATTTTGTTTCTTCATTTGTTGTATTATCAAGAGCATCATTAAATGTATCTTCCGTTACCTTGATTTCTTCTTTAGTTATTATTAAAGAATTCAAATTTGGCTCCGGTGTTGATGTTCTTAACATTGGCGGTAAAGACACAGGGGCGCCTATGATAAAATCAGTTAATGGCAGAGATTCACTAAGTTGCTTTGATTGATGATGTTGATGTATGAAAAAAGGATTAATGAATTCATTACCAAAAATTTGTTCACTGAGTTGTTCAATCCTAGGATCTACGTAAACAGAGTCATTTCTATTTTTAAGGTCACCAGATATTATTTTTAATACTGGTGTTTTAGGTCTTTCCAAATGTACAACATCAGTGTCAATAAACGGATTGTTATTGTGATGAGGCGATGAAGTTATGTCTTCTTCTATTAGTATTTTTATAGGTGACTCTGGAAATTCTTCATTTTGAGAGTTATTTGTTTCATACTCAGTTGTTACATAAGTGCCCAAATCTTTTTCCGTCTTATAGTTTTGTGTATATGTGTCAATTAGGAAAGGATTACCCGGTGACGACGAAATAGTCATTATTTCATCTTCTTCGTTACTCTCGTATATATTAAACAATTCTTTCTCTTGTTCCGAGATTTCATAATTATTTCTGTTGTTACTATGAGGTGTGCGTGGTGATTTAGTAGGTACATTTTCTACATTTAATTCTTTTCCATATGATTTTTCTGTTTTGAGTGATACATTAATGTTTTCTGGAATTATGTACTTACTACGCACTTCAGATAAAATGAATGGATTCATTTTTGTGTCTGACAATGTTGAGTTGACTATATCTGGAATATCTTGCTGATTTCGGTGATATGGGCTTGCCTTTTCTTTCTTTTGTTTTGCAATATACAACTCGGTCATTAGTTCATTGAATACTTTAATTACTCGGTTAATAAGTATTACTTTAATGACGACGCTATAAAATGCTTCTTTATTTTTTTGGGTTGTTGTTTGTTCCGTTATTAATGTTGTCATTCTTTCCTCCTGAATGTAATCAGATTTATCGTTGGTGTCAGTTGCCATTAAAACTTTTGCTTCATCATCACTAATTTTTTCTAAAGAACCATTTTCTTTCAATAGCATTTTTTCTGTGACAAAGTCTACAATTCTCAATACTACTTTTCTGTCTGATTTTATATCGACAATGTCGATTTCTTCGCCATCTTCCAAGCTGAAACTTTCCTTCTCTAAGATACTTAAAATATTTCTCGAACCGGTAACAGTAAAAGGTGATCCAACGATACTCTGACCTCTGCTTGTAATTGAAATATCATATTTGCCCTCAAGATTTACCACGTAACTGATTTTAGTATGATCACCACGAGGCTCCGCTTCGATTTCTATATCGTAGCTAGTTTTTGGGATATGGTAAGTTTTATTCATGTCCATTTTGCCGTAAGATCTTAAATAAGTTGCTCCTTGTGTTATAGGTAAGATATTTTCTGTGTAATTCGGTTTAGAATTTAAACCGAGCAATTTCTGTCGGATCAACTGTGCTTTGCCTAATATGGGGGGAAGCACAGTCATACCATAGGTATCTTTGGGTCCTCTTATTAGAATTGTAATTTCTCCTGGGTCCAAGGACTGTTGAGAAGTGGGATATATTTTGAAGTGAGATTTATTGTTTAATTGGGCTGCTGTTAACCCTGAACCTCTAGCAACGTAATCTAGAGTGAACTGAGTGGTTTCGGGTGATGTTCTTTGAGATGGTGGCTTCGATACAGGCGGTGTCAGCTTGGCTAATGATTGCCGAATTCGGTCTAGGAAAGTAGCGAGCTTCCATTCTTGGTGTTTGCTTAGTGAGTCGTTAGAGTCCAGCTCTTGTCTGGAAAATACCTGCAACAAATATAGGAGATGTAGTACTATAATTTGATATAATATCATACACAATTAAAATCTGGACAACACAAAACAATGAATTTATACCCAAATCAAATTAAGCAGTGGGTTTTTTTATAAACAATACAATTGCTTGGTTGTACTTAGTACATAGAGTATATTTATCCCAATATCGCACTAAGGATCATCGGAGCAGAGGAGTTGTCGTTGAAAAAAAAACAGTGATTGAGTTTATCATGACGAACAATGATTGATCCTAAAGCTATTGGCGCAGGCGCTTTGAAAAGTGGCACCTTTCAGGTAGGTCTGATATTTTTATGACTACTAGCTGACCCAGCGTACTTCGTACTGCTTACAATAATTTGGAAGAAATGATAAACGACGAACGTCAAATGTTTGAGAGGAATATAGATAGAACAGTTTATATGGAAAAATGAAATTGTATTTTTACTATCTTCCCTGGACTACGACAAATATTTTAAAAATTAGCTAAATCGGCCCAGCCGTTCTCGAGGTTTAGCGAGACTAACGAACAGCAATTGTTGTTTATATATATATAGAAGATTAATCTCATCACTCACCGGTTCAACACCAAGATAATGATCTGCTATAGCCTGCGCGTGTTTCAACGACAGCCTGGTAGGCGGGTGGCCGGTGCAGGCGCCTGGTAAAGCGGCGTCCAGCACCGCACAAACTATCCAGCCGTGCCGCCATACTGTCTCCAGGTGCTCCACGCGCACGGGGCCAGCTTCCGCCAGCCATATTAGCACGGATTGCTTCTGTTCTTCGCTCGAGAATACGACTGTAAATGAGACAAAGAATTTTGTGAAACATATCTAGAGATAACTAAAAGTAGGGGCTCTTAAAGAAACGAGCTCTTTCAAACTAGCTAGCTCTCCGCGTGTCGACTGTATGTAATTTTGTTTTAGTTCGATTTTTTTTAATATGCAAGATATAGATGCAGCGCTACTCATTCGAGTTTGTTTAGAATAGATGTAAATAAAAACGTTGTGCGCAATACAGCAGTAGAAGAAAAATATAGAATGAGCTACCTATTGCTAGCTTCTCAGCCCGAACAGTAGAAGTAGTAGTCTATTAACCGACCAACAGATATTTATTTATCTTTGAGAAACCAACAGTAATAGATATAGATATTACATAACTGAACTTAGTATTAAGAATGGCCAATAACAGGTTTCTACGAATTGAATAAGATATAATAGTAACTGAAACTGTCGTTGTGCAGGCTAAAGTTAGAGCTCGTTCCCACTTGTCGGGTGTCGGATCCGTATATTAATCGGAGGTTCCAGTGGCAGCCATTATATATGAAGCTATTCACACTTATCGGAAACCGATTTTGTGTCGGCTCCGACAAGAAGTGTCGGGTGTTTTGCCAGCCCTCTACGCCCGAAAAAAAAACGTGTCGGTTAAGAATGGCGCTGTTCATATTTGTCGGGTGTCGGGGCTGACTATCCTCCCCCGCTACCCCTTGTTCCGTTCGTAACGCAACCCTTTTTCAGTACAAATGCAGTCTCTAAGTCCTGTTTTTTGGTAGTATATGTTCACTAATATTTGAGTCAGTAGATAGTTGAATGTTGATATTGATATCCTTCTCAATTCTGTTATTAAGATCTGAAATTGACCCAAAATCAAATCTTTCCCTCAGGAATATGTGCACCCAATATTTACATTCCATGGCTCTCTTTCTTTGTTTTCTTAAATAATAATAAGAACATCACAACAAGAACTTCGTCAACGTCCATCGTAAACAGTCGCCTCGCGTAGAGTGCCTAAAATTGGTTAAAGCTTCAACCGTGTCCGACAACCGATTATTAATCGTGTGTGTGAACAAAGGCACCGACATCCGATTAATATACGGATCCGATACTCGACAAGTGGGAACCAACTCTAAGTAGGCAACATGTAGGTATGCATGTTTTAATGCCAGGTCACGTGAGACCGTTGCAAAGCGGCTATTAGTGTTGATTTTTTTTGACTACACTTTTTTAGTAGGTACTTCAGAAAATGTCTATACCACTAAAAGATTTGTTAGATAAGACAGGTAACCGAGTCAGAATTGCATTTGCTCTATACAAAGTAACATGTAGTGGAGTAGCGAAGAACGGGGTGATTCTAGTACGACGCTCTGGGGTACAAAATTTAATGTTAGCTAAAAATTCAGGGGTATTGATATTACTTCTTACGTTATCAAACAGAAAAATCATATCCGATTGTATCAAACGCTCTTCAAGAGGTAATCGTCTATTTTTATGGCAATTATCGATATAATCGGATGAGCGGCAAGTTCCCACGTAATCGAGGCTCATAAAACGGCGTTGTATTCCCTTGAATCTATTTACATGCGATTTGTAGAAAGGAGACCATTTATTACTACAATATTCTAGTACACTTTTTACATAGGCATAGTAGACCACTTTTAAAGTAATGCTATCCTTAAAAGGTTGACAAGTACGTATAACGAATTCTAAATTACGGTAAGCTTTAGCAACGATGGCATCTATGTGATTTACTAGCTGCATTTTACACTTATTAGTATTACTTCCCTACCAATGTAGGGTTCGGTAAAATTATATCTAAATGTGAGACGAGAGTTTTTCCGAGTGAATGTTATGCACTCACTTTTATTAATGTTGATTGATATCTAATTCACAACGTTAAAATCGAATAGACTATTAAGATCCTCCTGCAGCAATATACAATCATCAATAAATGAAAAAAAAATCCAACACCAATTAGCCTAGCCCCAATGTTAGCACTATAGGCTTGTGTTATGGGAACGGTTAGAATACATATACTGATACATATATAACTATATTTAAATAGAAATACATATTAAACATCCATGACTGGAGTACAAATGCTCGTATTCATCACACAAACATCTGCCACCACCGGTATTCGAACCCAGGACCTCTTGAGTAGGCGACACCTTGAAACCCGGCGTACAAACCACTCGGCCACGGAGGTCGTTAAATATCAATAAAACATAATAGTTCAATAAACATCAATAGTTTTGATTGACTTATATATTTTCATGTCATCTGCTTATAGTAAGTAACAAGCGTTTTTTGTACATTTGTATACATCATGAATATACGCATTATACATAAGGGGACCAAGGGAGCCTTGTGGTACACCCGAAGGTATATCTATCCATTGAGATCTATATCCACTCATAACAACAGCTTGCGATCGATTATACAAATACGATTCCAGCCAACGCAAAAGGTCTCCGAGAATTCTAAGTGAAAAATGCTTAGAGAGCAGGGTCACGTGATCTACCCGATAGTAATCCTTTTTAAAATCGTTGTAGATGATGTCCCCCTCCATATTACTGTACACACAAAATTTGAAAAGCAAGTCAAATTTGTTGTGGTTGAACGTTTCTTCATGAAACCATGTTTTGCGTGCGAACGACCTTCTCTAAAAGTTTACTGATAGTACATAAACTAGAGATCGCCCGATAGTTTTTAATATCCGATATGGAACCCTTTTTATGTATGGGGATCATGTTTGCTTTTTTCCAAATTGATGGGAAAGTGCAATCCCGTAATGAGCGCGCAAACATCATAGTGATAAGAGTTACCAAAGTAGCTGCACGGTGTTTTAGAAGATTGGGGGGAATTTCGTCACATCTGGAACCTTTTGTATGGTCTACAGTTTCCAATAAACGAGGAACTTCTGTTCGGCTTACTTCAATTTTAGATAAAGAATGAGAGTTTTAGATAATGAATGCTGAAATATTATAACTTCTGCCTGAGAGAGAAAGATTATTAAAATTAGTTGTCGATGCTACATTATTGAAAAAAGGCTATTAAAGGCGCTGCAAATACTATCGCAATTGTTAAAAGTAGAAGAAGATAATCTTAAAGTCCACGGGCTGATAACCTATATACCTACATAACAATTGAATGAGCTTTTGTGTCATTGAGGCGAAGTTATAGTACGTACCTACAATGAAATGTAGCAAAAAAGCTAAGAATGAATGCATATAAAAATCCTGAAATGTCCCTAAAACCCCAACTCACTAAATTTCAAGTTGTTAAAAACGCCTTCTCACTTATATGGTAAACTGTGATGGTAAATACTACACATTGCGTTGTTAACAATAAAGATAGAAATTACGTTCTTACTCAGGGCTTGAAACCGGTTTCAAAAATACCGGTAAATAAAGGTTAATACCGGTTTTTAGTAAAGGTTTCGTTCGAAGTGCGTCCGAAATGAAAGCGGTACCTAAAACCTTAATAAACCGGTTTAAGCCAGAGCAACACGTGCACGCGTCGGTATCGCTTGAAGTTTGTTTTGTTTGAACTAATTAAGTCACAACTTGTTAATGCTCAGAGATTGATGCATTTATTGACACGTTTGCTAGCGTCTACTGAGTCAAGTTATTCATTTTGTAGTTCTGTATTTATTTCAGCCGTCAGTAAGAGCGAAATGAAACCCTTTAAAAACCGCTAAATTGATTCAAAACCGATTTGATTTCGCTTTTTAGGAAAACTGTTTTTTTAAGGTTAAGGTAGAGCCAAACCTAAATAAAACGCTCCTTATGTACTTGACACTGATTTAGGTTTGAAAATTAACCGGTAAACAAACCCTGTTCTTATTATCTCCAATTAACGTAATACGGTGTCATAGGCAAAGGAATCTAAACGATTTGATCTTGCTACTTAACTTTGTAGCGGAGACCGTGACCGTGAAATGGCTTGATTCTATTCAGAAAACAGCTGATAAAATCGTGGTAAATACTAACGGAGGCAGTTAGACCATACAGAATGACGAGGTCGCGCGATTTTGGGTCATGATAAATATAATATAATGAATTATGAATTTGGGAATTAGGAGAGTGTGTAGTGTGTTTACAATGGAGGGAATCGAGGTGCTAGAAGGCTCAGTGCTTAGCACATTTGGTCTGTAAAATGGAATATTACGTAAAGCTCGGCAGAGGGTACCACTCACAGAACACAGAAAGAGGTTAGAAGGGCCTTGTGGGCGGGGCAGGAGCGCCACAGTTATGTCTGAACAAATGCTCATAACTTGACCAAAACTTGGTTCTGATTGCGTCGTTGCTCTCGGCTGTGAGCGCTGATTGGTGCGACTGTTTGATGTCACGTCGTTTGATTGACTATTGTCTATTAAGTGGAAGTGTAGAAGGGGCGAGCCAGCGACATCGGTTCCCGAATAACGGTATATGATCACCTTTCTAACCTCTTTCTGGGTTCTGTGGTACCACTAGCACATACAGTAAACAAAGCGCCATCTTGCCCAATATCGTATTGTTGTCATATGTTGTTTTGTGAAAATTTAAGTTAAACAAGGAATAAGTAATTGAAACTAATAGGCATTCAGTTTCAATTATTGACATGCTCAAAGTCTGCTTTGACCATGTAGCTTTGTTTGATAACTATAGTGATAACTACTTTGATGCTTCTTTCATCATGTAAAACAGTAATCACAGCGCATTTTGTTGTTGGCGTCCAATCAAAGCGGACTTAGACCACGTTCAACTTTTCAAGGCCAACTTTGATGTGACATAACGAAACAAAATGGGGTCTAATGTAAAACCGGCCTAGTGCGAGTCGGACTCGCGCACGAGGGGTTCTGAACTATTTATTATCTAAGTATACAACATTAGACACTATATTTTAAATTTTAATATAGAGCAAAAAACGGCAAAAAATACGTCTGTACGGAGCTACCCTTTAATTATTTATTTACCAACAAACGATGACAAAGTTACTTTTACAGAGCTACTTTGTCAAATCAGACTGAGCATGAACCGTTTACCCAGCGCACCTAACGAAAGCTCACAAATGGAATATTTTTACCCGTTTTTGCAAAATTTTTCATGAAACCAATATGGCAGACTTATGAAACGCGACTCCACACGACGCCACGCCACGCTTGTTGAGTCAAATCAATATGTACTAATTTCTATGATCAGTCATATTAGAAACATCCGACGCGACGATTGGTAATAGTTATGAGTGATAAAAGTGATGGGTGTGTACTAATCACTGTGTCACTAGATACAATTAGTAATAAGGGAGTAGACCAATGGTAAGGGACACACACTTAAAACTTCTTTAGCGGCGTTGTACACTTTTTTTTAATGGGTAAAAATTGTTAAACTTGCGTCAGACGTGGCCAGCACGTGACCTAATCGAAAATTCGTAAGACGGAACAATAAAATTGAAAAGGTTGTTGACTTTCATTAAATTGGACGAAACATAGTAATATTTTATTTTATCGTATTGTTATAATAAGTCTCTATCTAGGACGTCCAGGTGGCAGCTTTATTTCGAAGAAAATGCATATTTTTTACAATAGATGTCACTAAGTGCGCTTCAATGTGATTCACGTAAGTTGATTTTTCTGAGAGATAAACTTTTTAATGTAACATAAATTGTCATGTTTATGTACGATAGCGCAATAAGTAAATAGTGTATTCTACCACATAAATGATAGTACTTTTATACTGATAATTAAAGCAATTCCTGCAAAATTATTACCTAACTACTTCTTTTTTTTTAATCACGTTTTCACTTCTACCCTTCGTTTTTTTAATAGCAGAGCAATGAGGATCATTACCAGGTCAGCAAATCAACTCAAAATCAACAGTATAAGTAATGATCTAATGAGATTTTTAATTAATATACTTTTTAAATTGTCGGAATCGGTTCATTCGTTGCGATTTTATGACTAAATTTATGGTAGCCAATATTCACCGGAGGCCAAAACGTGTGACGTCACAGAGCTCGATCGTAGTTCACTACGGTCGAACTTTAGTAGCGTCTCTAGTCTCTACGCACGCTCAAGTCCGAGCGCTAAAGCTACGTGCCGTCTCAGTCACCACGCGGCCAGCCGAAAATTCGTTTAGTAATTTGGTCATAACTTCGTCAATATGTGCCTAAGAACAAAAATTTAACCACTCTATTTTATAGAATCTTTAGCTCTATAAATCTGCATTCTCAACTAAAATCGTTACAGATCCTCATTGTGCATTCTATACAACGGGTCCTAAACTACGCAACAAAATTTTCACCATCAGTTAATTAAATTTTCACGCAAGGTTTATATTTTTATGAAGCAAGTTATTGTGTATAATACAAGCCTGAGAACAAAAACTATAGTCTACACTACAGCTCTATACCGAAGCGAAGCGAGGGCGGGCCACTAGTAGTGAATAAAAATACCTACTACTTACTTGTCAGTACTTTGGGGTATGATTGGTTTGGGTATGTAGAGAATGCTTATAAGGAGTTTTCTTTTTGAATTGTAAGTAAGGATGTACTTGCTTGTATTATCTTGTATTTATCTATGTTAAATAATGACAATAGTGTAAACGTGGAAATAGTTATGTTTGAGTACTCATAACCGACCGACATAATGAAGACATCGATAAGGTATAAGTTGGACTATTTTAAGAACTTACAATAACGGTCACGGTAGGTACCTACCTACTCTAAAAAAAACCGCTATTCATTTAGGAAATTAGATCCTCTGGCTTAGAATTTCGAATCGTACCTAGGTATATGATATGTACGATGATTTCATTATTATATATGCAAATCGATTCTTAAGGAGTAAACTCCAAAAAACAATATCGTTTATTCAGTCTAGGCTGTTACAAGCACTTGTGAATGTCGAAAAGCTACGCGTATATATCGGTTCGCTAATCTACTATCTAATACTTTTAATTATACCTAGTTAGTCATCATGTTATCATAATAATTGTCTACAGAATAAGCCAATAAGAAAATATAAAGACTAAGTATAAAGAATACTAAATAAGCCGTTTTAGTCGCGGCGTAGGTATTGTTGTTGTCATCAGACTGATAAGGCAAAGGTAAACAGAGATAAAATAAAATTGAGCCTTTTTTATTGGAATCCTGATTCCGAGAAAATCGTAGACACTTGAACCTCACTGCCTAGGTAAGTTCTGTAGGATTTTCTATACGCCGTTCGCGTAGCTCACAATTATTATAATAAGAACACTTAGGATGCTCAACTTTGTTTATTTGAACTCAAGAAAATCACAATTAATTATATCAACCAATCGTGTCTGCGCCTGAATTCAATCTCTCTAGAATATTCGATATGAGACAGGGTGTTCTCTTAATTGAATCCATAAAATAATGACATTTACTTTAACACAACTGCCAGTCGTAGGCATTACATAAACAAAGAGTTTATACAAGCAAGGAGGCCGTAACGCGACTCCGATTCCGATAAGGCGGAACCTCCGGTCATTATTACACTTTCGGTTCCGATTTCGACTCCGAAACTTTTAAATCGGAGGTTTTAATCGGAGCTCGAAGCATAGCAAATAGTATGTGTTAATAATAAGTAAATTTAAATGAAAAAAGTTTATTTTATAATTAAAAGGAATGGTTGTCTCAATGATGTTTTTATTGTTGTTAAATGAAAAATATCTGTCTTGTGACCACTCTGAATCTGACCCGACTCTGCCTCCGACTCCGGTTCCGACTCCGATAAATCAAATTTAAAAACTCCGACTCCGACTTCGGTTCCGATAATTTACCTCCGTTAAATCCCTGGTTTTTATATGTAGTTAGTCTTTTAGATTCAGTTAATCCAAATAATTAATTCTGTTACTATACTGATGAGAACAGCAGTAGGTGTACATTTTATAGTTTTTACCTAGTGTTAACCTTTTTGATTAATCTAAGAGTTAAGACTACAAAATAGTAATAGGCTGTGGGGTCATTTTGTAGGGACTTCCTATTTTCTTTTGAAGACGAAGTATTTATACTCACTGGCCCTGAACGCTGAGTCGATGTGCTTGAGGAGCTTGAAAAAGAAGCTTTGCTGACCCCAGAAGATTGTGAGCAGCGTCGCCGGCGCCAAGTACCGCAGGGTAGTGAGGATAGTGTCCAAAGCCGTAGACCACATGCCTCGCCGCGGCTCCAACTCAGGGTACTCCGGTATGGGGAATAATCCTGGTGGAATAGAAAAACTTAGAGTTAAACTTTATGTCTGAAATCTTGGAGCTTTTCGTGTAGATATAGGTTTCTAGGTGTCTTCATCGAGATTCTAACCCGGGACCTTTAAGTAGGCGACTTAGAGGTCCCTCCCGGGTTCGAATCCCGGTGAGGCAAATGTTAGTATCATGAGTACGCTTTTGCAACTCATTTGTACCTAACCAGCATTTGTACCTAAGGGTGCGGCCAGAGTGCACTCAGATTCAGAGTCAGATTCAGATTCTGAAAACAAGCGCGAGAAATAAACAGTGTAGTCGAAGGGTACGGCCAGATTGCACTCCTGATTCAGATTCAGATTCAGACTCAGAAAACAAAGCGCGAGAAAAAGCAGGCAACCTGCTTAGACCACACTGTTTATTTCTCGCGCTTGTTTTCAGAATCTGAATCTGACTCTGAATCTGAGTGCACTCTGGCCGCACCCTAAGTCTTAATGTTTATAGATATACTATATATTTTCTAGATAAATATACTTAATTATGTATCCCATACACAAGCCTTACAGTGCTTACTTTCGGGCTAGCTAGGCTAATTCGTGTTAGAAAAAAAAAAATTACCAGGTCCGTCCGCTGCCTGGTCCGCGTGGATTTTTTTCTAGTAAACTTTTCTTTATATTTATTTTATTTATAGTTAATAACTATATCGTCGTCCGGGAACCAAAGGGCTTGGTGTGAGAGCGCCAGGCGTACATTGCACAGGTTCCTGGGATATGAGTGGTATCCCTGACACTCAGACACCGCACAATGGGAGGCGGGCCGTTCGCGGATACTTACCGACGGGCCAGCTCTCACGAGACTCTACTGCAGCCAAACTATTGCCATGCACTCTTGGAACCTTAAACTGGTGTAGGAGTATTGTCTGTGATAAGGGTCCTGCTCATTTCACCCAGCTCAAGGGCTGAGATATTAAAAAATACTGGCTAACATTGACCAAATGGAATCCTGTAGATCTTTTTTTGTTAAGTATAACATATTAACTTTTGCTTCCATCTTTATTCTGGAGTCTTGTAAATTTATTATAAAACATCCAGAATTTTATTCGCCACTTAAAAAATAATAAAAGGAATAATAGAAACTTAATGATTAAGATACATAACCATGTTACTAACTATCTAAAAAACTATAACACATCGACGCAATTTATCAAACATTTAAAAGACTTTCTTATTGCCAAATGTTATTATGATTTAAATGAATTCTTCGATGACAAATCACCCAGCCAATGGAATGCTTCAGACTCTTAAGAATTTAATTTATTATTAATGTATTTAAATGAAGAATAAATAATAATATTTTAATGAATTAATGGTGTTGATTCTAGCGTGATTCTCTAAACCTTTTCATTCTGTATTGGGAATGGCAAGGATACACTCGTCGAATTTAGGTTTGGTTTGGAGTGCTATGCTAGAATTGACACCAATGTATGTGTACAATGATTGAAACTTAATTTATAAATTATATTGTGTAATTGTATAATAATGTATTTTAAATAGATAATAACCCTCTAAAATTTGTGTGCCCTTGCAGGGCGTCACATGGTTACCTACTGTATTTTTTATGTACCACCTTATTTCTGTGAATGTGAAATGCAATGAATAAATAAATAAAAGGCATATTATATCGTCGCCGGTCTCATTGAAACACATACAGTAAAACCCGTTTAAGACGATTTCGCAGGGACTCAACCAAAAACGCGTCTTAAGCGGGAAAGCGTATTATGCGGGATAGGAAAATCTGATATTTGTATGTACAATATTTAAGAATTATGTATGTAATAAAAAAAATGTAGTGAATTATTATTTATTAATACGTTATTTAAATTAATCACTTATTTTGGTTTGTCAAAAAGATTTTGAGGCATTAGCAAATACAAGATTTTCAAGATAATTAAACTTTTACAGAGCGTCTTCGCTTTGATTTAAAGAAGACAAAATTGGAGTTGACTCATCTTCTACTTAATCGTTATCAGTTAGTTAGGGCATCTTCTTGTGTGTTATTCACATTCTCATTGAATTTTATGCTGCTGCAAGAGGTAATATGTGTGGTACAAGTTGGCGATTTAGGCGTGTTAAACGGGATGACGAATCGTACAAATGTATGGAAACATGTCTCAAGTTGCAGGGACTGACGCAAAATGGCGTATTATGCGAGAAATCGTATTAAGCGTGATCGTATTATACGGATTCTACTGTATTTGCTAGATTTTGAAAATTCTAGGCTGGAATAGCCGCCATTTCATGATTGAGCAGCGGACACTTCGCATGCTTGACTTAAATTAGCTTACTTAATTATTCAAAACATTTTTTACTCAGTTTTTTAAACTTGATTTTACTTATGACCAGTTTCTGTATAATGTTTTAAATTTGATAATAAGTACCTATTTAATCCCAAATTAATTGTAACAGGTCTTTTATAAAAAATAATTTTGCTTTTTGAAAGAAATTGTATTTAATTTTGTCGAAATGAAATCTTACGTTGAAAAAAGGCATCGCAAAGGTTCCGACGTCAAATATAATGACGTAATTATTAACCTTGCATGACAACGAGATGTTGAATACTCAGAATCCCTACATTTCTTTTGAATTCATATCAATTATTATATTATTTGATCTAAATAGCTCGTTATAATGAAGTATATCAAGGTTTTGTGTAATTTATCCTACAATTTGAATATAATACCTTCCCAGGTATAGAATTTCATTTGTGATATAATCAGAGGTTATTAAAGTGTTTTATTAAGAGTTATTTACTCAATACAATATAAGGTTGGGTAGAAAGTTTCTTCGCATTTTATATGAAAATTTAAAACGTTTTTTAATAAAGTTTATTTACATTTAACTAAAGTAGGTAGGTGCCATTTTGTTCCCATGATCCCATCGCTAAAGAAATTTTGGGGCTTCTGATCAAAAAACTGCGACGATTGGTTCTGGCAGTCCTCTCGTGATGTTAAACTGACATTGCCTAAACAATTCTGAAGAGACCGAAACAGGTGGAAATCTGAAGGTGCAAGGTCAGGACTAAGGCCCGTATTATATAAAGATTCTCAGTGATTGATCTAGTCTTGAGCATAGTTAGAAAGGGTTGTCGCTATATATAGCACATAGCGACATCCCTTTCTAACTGTACTCAAGTAAAGATCAACACTTAGTTGTCATTCTGTAATACGGGCCTTAGTATACGGCGGATGCATTAACACCTCCCAGTCAAACTCCTAATTTTTGCTGAGTGGCTAAAGATGGGTGAGATTTAAGTACTCATCTTGACAGTAAGAAAAAATCAAAAAACCCGACTGCTTAATTATTCTTCAAATAAAAACTGAAAAGAAAAAAACAAGTCCAGTAGTCTATAATTCTGTTAATAAGGAACAAAGCTACTTTAACAGTTACCACCATTAGACGTCCTGGTCCTTGGACGTCCATTAGATATTCAAGAATACATAATATTTTTCAACAGTGGGTCCCGACTGTTAAAGTAGCTTTGTTCCTTATTAACAGAATTATAGACTACCGGACTTGTTTTTTTCTTTTCAGTTTTTATTTGAAGAATAATTAAGCAGTCGGGTTTTTTCATTTTTTAAATTTACCTTTTTTATTTCACACTTTTTAGTTAGTATTTTAAGACGGTATATAGCGTAGTCTTGTTACTTCAGTAAGGGAATTCATATCGCGGGAATTATTAAGTACCTTGCGTCGGTCTAAAAGATTGATTTATTAAGACATATAAAGACTTTACCAGCGGGGTCGAAGCTACAGATGGGCTTCAATTTTCGCAAAAATGTGTGAAGTTAAATCAAGTCGTTACATAAATATCTCTAATGTATATAAATTTATAACCTTAAATACACCTTAAAAAGGTGTACAAAAAAGTCCGTGATGGTATATGTCTATCTCTTAAGGATAACCCACAATAACCATTTTTATTCTATACTTTTTACGAGAAATAATATCTTATTTACGAAGCGATTTTCAGCAATATAACATTCATCCTTAACCAATTAAGTACCATAAATACATTGTGTATTAAATACAGATCAATTTGGCCCTTTAAAGCATGTAATTTAAATGAATATTTTCGAAGATACAGATTTTAAAATGCAGGGACATAGCGGTTCCAACGCTACCGGGCGGGGAGCCTGGCGGCGCGCGCCTATTGTAATTAGGTATAAGAAGAATGTCATTGTGTATAATACAAGCTTGAGAACAAAAACTATAGTCTACACTTTAGCTTTACACCGAAGCGAAGCGAGGGCGGGCCACTAGGGCTATATACTAAAATGCAAAAAGACTTTCCCTAACCTATTACGTTACTAAAGAATTTGAATTGAGTTTATAATACATGGAATGTCATTGAATGTTTGAAAACTATGTAAATGTGGGAAACAATGAATTCTGTGTGTTATTTTCTTTTCCGATGAAAATTATTATGTTTAAGTACAAAATATAGACAAATTGCCACGTTGCCTCGTAATAGGTCCATCGTGGTTCATCATTTACGCCCTTATCAACTCTTTTATTTCTATTTGTCTGTGAGAACTTTTAGAAACGAAAAAATACAACCTCTAATTTTAAAATTTAACAATCAACATTATTTACACTTCTTACTTTGTTTGTAAGTTCAATGATACTACTTTACGAAACAGCAGATTAAAATAAAAGGTCATCCGACGAAGTTATACGCAAGTATACTAAAGCTGTTCAAATATATGACTATGTAAGTAAATAGTTTAGAAAAGTCATAAAATGTGGTTGTAATTATTTCGCTATTAAATATAATTGTTTTTAATAAAGATGATCACTTATACCAGTTGTCAAAGTTGATATACCTAGTGGTTACATCTCTTCGGTCACCACTAGGTAAGCTATAAATTTAGTGACTGGTGGAACCTATGTTTTTCTTTCACTCTCACGCCAACATCCACATCCACTAATATTATTAATATTTAAGTAACTGTTGCCTGTCTGTTTGTTACGCTTTCATGCCTTAACCGCAGAACAAATAAGCATTTTGTTAGGGAGAGGTAACCTTAGTAGTCCTGCTGTCAATTCAATTTTAATTTTGTTTAAATATTGTCAGGAATTTCGTTTTGTTTTAAAACAAACTATTCAAACACAAAGAACAAATACCATGGCCAAGAAGCTATGATACTGAACAGATAAATTATTATGAGCATGACAATATAGTATTTAGCACTCGCTTTGCTAAAGTATGTCCCAATACATTACAAGTCGAAATTAATAATACAAAATTACATAAATATTTAAAAAAAGCATGCTTAATTTAAAAAAAAAGTAGCAAATTTTAAAAATCATATTAACAAATTACAAAGTTAAAATTATTCACCATCGTGTCATCTTATTCACTATAAAATCGAGATTAAAGATGTCGCAAAGAATCTGCAAATCTATCTATATATATAAAATTCAAAGGTGACTGACTGACATAGTGATCTATCAACGCATAGCCCGAACCACTGGACGGATCGGGCTGAAATTTGGCATGCAGGTAGATGTTGTGACGTAGGCATCCGCTAAGAAAGGATTTTGATCAATTCTACCCCCAAGGGGATGAAATAGGAAATGAAAGTCTGTATGAAACTTTGTCAATTTTAAACCGATCGGGCTGAGACTTTGCATGCAGGTATAAGAAGAATCATAGATGAATGTCATTGTGTATAATACAAGCTTGAGAACAAAAACTGTAGTCTACACTTCAGCTCTACACCGAAGCGAAGCGAGGGCGGGCCGCTAGTATGTCTATATACATCGTGCTGAGTGAGTACGTCCCTGATAAGAGTTAAGGTGTGGTTGGTTGGAATAAATATAAGTATACTTGGGCCCACCGAATTTGCAAACTGAAGTGGCAGTGGCTGGTTACATTAGCCGCTGTTGAACTGATGGCTGTTGGAACCTAGTTCTTGAGTGGAGACCACGATTCGGCAAACGTAATGTAGAACGCCCTGAGACAAGGTGGCATGATGACATTCGTAGGCTGGCTGGAGTGGGCTGGATGAGAGTGGCAGAAAATCGGGAGCAGTGGCGTGTATTAGGGGAGACCTATGTCCAGCAGTGGATGAGGATGGGTTGTTGATGATGATGATTATACTTGGGTTATTAATATAAGTACAAACCAATGCTTCGCGGATATCCTTGCCGGTAGACGTGTTCCTCATAAGCTCTCACCAGCTCCTCAATGCTGTCGGACATGTTGAATTTCTCACTGCTTATAAGTTATATTTTTACAGCAGCCATATTATCTTTTTCATATCTTTTTTATAATTTTTATTGAATCAGCAATATTCACATTAATAACATGACTGTGGTTGCGAAATTTCTATTTAAATTAATTAATTTAACAGTATTGGTGGAAATATTTGTTTGTAAATATTTTATTTTAATAAGACTAGCTGACCCAGCGAACTTTTTACCGCCAAATAGGGGTTTGTTTTAGAAAGGTGATTATTTAAGTTTGTATGTACTTCCTATATTTTAATGCCGAATCAATTTTTTTTTACCAAATTATTTGTTATGGTATGGACCACCTTTATCACTTAGATAAGGGAAAAATAGTTTACGACCTATTCTCAGAGTTACTGGATATACACACAAAATTCCATAATAAACGACACGGCTTGACCGATTAAGCCGTTTCAGAAGAACTGAAAACCATATACTCAGGTCTGCGGTCCCTTGACGCTGTAAAAATCCAGACTTCTTCGAGTTAACGTAAAAAAAGATACAGCCGTTAATGTTGCGTACGGAACCCTCGGTGGGCGAGCCCAACTCGTACTTGTTTATTCTTTTCAGGCGGTCACAATTTGTACTACTTAATTTCCTAAAATCCACATAAAATATTCCTGTCAGAGAGGTAAAAACATAAACAGAAAATAAGGAAGACTTACCTAACGAAGGATAAAGGAAACTTGATATGTACACTGCTAAAAGTTTAACCAAACAGAAGGATTGGAACGCCATTTGAAAATTAATAGGAAATTTGATTATTTTCTCAATATGAATGAAAATAAACGGAACTTTCTTAATAACAGATAGAGTGACAACACTGATGAGTTTGAGAGTTACCTATAAGAAGTTGACAGCAGTACCCTTAGTACGAGTTTGAGCTCACGAAAACTATCATAGTTATATTTCTATGTCCGTAATTGTAAATTATATTTCTATGTCCATTTTGGTGAAAAGTAACCAAATATACTTAAAATTTATGAAGACGCAATTATGTTTTAATGATAGAATTTAAACACTGTTTATTTGTATTGAAACGAAAACAATAAAATCAGTACCCTTAGTACGAGTGGGAGCTCACGAAAACTATCATAGTTTTCGTGACTGTAAAACTCGTACTAAGGATACAGGTTACTTATTTGGTTTTCTTTTCATTCTTTCAGCTGTAGGTGCCTTGCCAGGTCGCCAAACCTAAAAGCCGGACAGACCAGCCAGTTTGGTCGGACATTTGGGTAAAAAGGTCAAACACCCTAAAATATTGAGAATATTGTGGCTCAGTAATATTAGGTACGACAAAAAATATATGTAAAAGCAACCGACTGACAAATCGCTTACGCTCGGCCACGCTCGACGCTCGCTCGTTTGCGTTACAAAAGCCGGACAAGCCGGACACCGTTTATTTTGACTGGACACGCAATCAAAAAGCCTATGTCTAGCTTTATACGGACGCCTGGTAACGCTAGCTGAAGGTAATGCTGCCGAGGACTCAATTCGAGCAGTAAAGCCGCTATGCCCATAGTATGTTCTACAAAAGTTCTTCCGATCAATCAAAACGCCCAATCGTTTACTTACGAATTTAAAAGAAATGGTAAGCAAAGCAAGCGATAATATCCTGTCTCGAGCACACACACCCAGCCTTGAAGTGCAGTGTCGCTCAATCCAAAATTCAAGCCACCATGTGAGAATATAGCTCTAGTTAAGTATAAAAAACATGAATTTCATGGTGAATAAATAGCAATAGTACTTTTCTACCTATACATTCGTAAGATAATGCGATCCAAAAGTTACAAGATTCAAAAAGTATAAGTTTTCTTCATAATACACTTACTGATAGTAAGACTTCGGTGGCGTTATTTTTTCCCATTAGTTGTACTTTATCAAAATTGGAAAAAAACATAGACCTCGTATTAAGTATACGGTAACTTTAAGTCTAAAGATAAAAAGATAAAAGAATGCAAACAAACAATTGTGAACTCAATAATAAGTGTTTTTATTTCAAGGATAAGTACTTAATTAGTTGTATTGAAATAATAATCTATTTCACCAACATACATAACTTTTCCAATAAATGTTCAACGCTTATATCCCATGAATTAATTGCATTTTTGATAAAATGTTTAATGATGAATAGAAAAAAATGTGACACCATTTTTCTATAGGGGCCGTTCAAGTATTACGTAAGCAGATTTATTACAATTATTTACCCCCTCCTCCCCCTCGTCAGCAAAAGTAAGCAAAGCTCTTACCCCTCCCCCTCATCCTTACGTAAACATTGGTACCTATATGCATTTTTCCTTTAATGTATTCTGTTTTTTTTATTGATTCATGAGCTTCATGAGCAGCAGTACTTAAAAAGGCTTAATCGATGATGCTGACGTAATCACCATCTCTACCCCCACCCCCCCATGTCATCAAAAATAAGCAAAGCAAAGACCCCCCTGCCCCCCTATAGTGCTTACGTAATACTTGAACAGCCCCATATCAATTTAAATATATGTTTAATTATGTGTAATGGTAACGTAAGACTACTCGGTAACACTACTAGGAACAAGGGAATTTCACACTGTATAACAGTTTTAAAGTTTTTCATCCTTAAACATTTTATCACAAATGCAACAAGCCGCCTATTTTTAAAATGTTTTTCACTGGCTTATTTTTTTTTTATTTCCTAAAAGCCTTCAAAATTAACTAACAAGCGCTACTACAGTTAAAACTCACGTGATTTGGATAATTCTCGAGGGAGAGTCGCCAGCAAACTGTTTCGTATGAAAACATCATCCCGATTATCTTACAGATAACGTACACATAGTGAATAAACACTGTAAGGCGTTGTGATAAAAAGAGTGATAATGTTCACAGTGAATCATTTTAAACAAATACCTACTGATAGAAAGTTATTCTTTAGACATTCGCCCACGTTAGTCATTCATTACTGAATATAATGTCTGTAATTTGGTAAGAATGACGATTTATTTTATACCAATATCCGATTCCCTAAAAATACTAGACTTTTTATGTCAAAGAAAAAAAACAAACTAATAAAAGCTGAAGTAAAGGGCGGTTTTATGCTGTCGCCTACTCAAGAGGTCACGGTTCGTAGCCCGGTCAGGCAAATATTAGTATGATGAAGTCATTGATATATATACATAAATATATTTCTAGATAAAAATATTTATACATGTATTCTATGTGTTACGCTAATGTCCCATAACCCAAGCCTTAGTATCGCCGGACACGGGCCACCGACCACAACCACAAAATGCCGCTACCGGCATATTTCTAGCAATTTTCATACTTTTTATATGGACTCGCCACACACGATACGCCGGTGGCCGCCACACGCTTCTTGTGGCCCGCACCGGCCACTTAATGCGCCGATAAAAAACTTGTGGCTGTGGCGTGTTGCCCGTGTGCGATGACACTTACGGTGCTTACTTTAGGGGTAGCCTAATGGATGTGAGTATTGGAAATATCTATTTACTGGCTGGATTATTGGTTTAACTTAATTGCCTTGATTGTGATTGGTTGTATCATAAATCGCGTGATTTCCATAGCTAATTGTTATTCGTTTAAATATGCACATCCACCATAATATAGTATCTGTATTGATAGGTAAGTATACGGTTTCCATGATACTCCATAGAAGTAATTATACTATAATGAAGGTATCTATATTTGCTATTCGGAAATTGAGCACTCTTACAATATAGTAAAGAACTGGTCAAGTTGGACTCGTAAGTACACACAGTTTTCTTTATCTTCTATCATGAAAAGCGCATCTCCATCGCGTTAGCTTCGTTTTTAATTTACACTTTGGCAGATAACGTTCAGTCCATTGTCTTCGTATTGTCCTGAAAACAATTGGACAGCGACAGAAACTACCATCACGCACGCTCATTGGTCAAATCATATAGCGCGCTTCCCCTACTTCCTGTTATACACTTCCGTCCCTTTTCACGGAATCACCTACACAGATTGCAGGAAAGCGAGAGGAAGTATACGACACATCAATATGAAGTTGAATAAACGTCGTTTATATTCTTAACACCATGAGAGCCAATTATAAGAAAAAAAACGAGTGTGTTTATAACCACACGGCTGAAGCGAAACTTCTTTAGCTCCATCTGTATATATCATATATGTATATGCATAGTATGTGTGTACAATACCTATATACATGTATGTACATATACATATTTCATTTACTAGCTATAAGAGAAAGAGAGAAAGAAAAAGTGCGCGTGCACTGCTTTCTCTTGCTATGGGGGATCCCATTCAACTCTCGTTCGCCTCGCCCTAATACACTTTTCGTATTGCATAACGCATACGTCAGCTTATCCCCCAAGTCAAGCGTTTGTAAAAAAGTTTTACTTCAATTACAAAAAACTTACTGAAAAATAACGTATTTCAGACATTGCAATTAGTGCTTCTTAAGTTAACTAACTTTCGGGTGGGTGGAGTGATGAATAATTCTTAATTTAAAAATTATTCAGATACTTCGATTGTTTCAATGTAATACCGACCTCTATGAACAACTGGCTGTCACATCGGATTTACCTCCATTGTATTACGATGCGGTCCCGATCGGATTAATGAAGAAAACGGTTTTTTTTTCGGGTTTGGGTGTTTGTAGCAGAACCATTGTTTCTGTTTCCTACAAAATATCTAAGCCGTCTTTCTATGAAGAGTTTCAAATGTATACAATATTAAGGGAAAAATAAATTCTGATGGAAGGTGATTACGTCACATTGCAAAATAATCACATTACAAGGACGGCGTTATAAAAAACTGATGTAATCACCATAAGTCAGCCAAAGAGCGAATCAGATAGCTACGCCAAATTACCTACCTACCACACTTCTTGCCATAAGTACTTGTATGAATATAGTTCTTATTTGCCGACTGCATTTTTAAACACAACCTATACAGGTTTTTGTAGCACTGGCTAAATGATTTGTTATTATTTATAGTAATGTGAAATTCAATAAATAAATAAAATAAAATTTCTTATTTTATTTTATTTGGGTTTACAGACAAATAACAAAGTATATTAAAACTATGATCAGTCACATGCTAATAATAAATTTCCACATA